AACCGCAGCACCTGAATCCCTCCATCATCAACTGAGTTAGTGCTTAATTAGGTTGCCCCCAGTTTTTTTGACAGGGCCGTTCCACACCTTGAGCGGGGATGGCAGGCAAGTCCGTTGCGCTCCGTCCTCCCAGTGAGAACGGCTGCATGAATCAGATCTGCTCGTGCAGATGGGTGAAACTCATTTCCATTCAGTTTTGGAAAGAACTTAGCAAAATATGCCAGGTGCTTCTTGTTCTGAACAGAAAGAAGTTGAGATCTGCCCCCACCCCCACCAAAAAAAAAAGTGCAGAAGGAAATAAAACTGAGTCTTAAATAAAGTTTTGAATTTTAAACGGCACTGACTTTCTCTTCTAACATGCGCTTCTGTCCCCTGACAGAGAATGGGTTTAGACAACATGATATCTCATATTCGAGAGTGGAGCATGGGTTGATAAACACTGTGGGATGTTCAACAACTATAAGCTGTCGTTGAAACATGGTGTGTTGCATAAACCCAGTTGTGCCAACAAACCATGGTTTGCTCATCACAGCCCACAGTTCACAAGCCAGCAACAAACCATGGGTTGCCTTGATAGGGTGTTTATGGTTCACAAGCCATGGCTTGTTAGAGTAGCTGGGCTCAGACACGATGATAACCTGCAAAGCAACAACTATCCACAGTTCAGTGCCAACCCATGCAAGGAGGAGTACAAATGTTCAAAATTAATATAACATCCTCTGCCAAGGAGCTATGAGGCCAGCTGAAAAATGTTGATTCCCTCCTGGCAAGACAGAACTGTCCCTCCCACACAAACTCCATTTCTGCAGCATGTTTACATTCAGTGGACAGGATCAGGGGAGAAAGGGGTGTAAACCTGAATGGCTCTGTTCTGAGTGACAAGGGACTAAATTTTGACTACTGGAAGCTATGGACAGGGAGCTTGAGATGAAGGCTAGAACATGTGTTGCACTGTGGCTTGGTAGAGCCTGAGTTGGAAAATCAGATGATTTCTCATATGGTGCTCACTCCATTCTGCATACTTAAGCAGGCATCTTGCAGGCACTGGACTTCAAAAAGCTTTCACAGAATAACCCCATCTCTCTGAATATTTCTCTCCAACAGGGATGCTCAAGGTGGTTGGCAAAAGCACGCAAACATTTGATCCATGAAACTACAGTCAATGCAACAAAACCCAACAGATGCTCAGACTCATAAATACAGACTGTAGGAGGTTTCCTTATATTAAGTCAGATCAAGACTGAGTTCAGACAAACCAGACAATTGCGTATGGATAGAGTGCGGGTTGTCCTTGAATTATTGTGGATTATCCTGCTGTCTGAACTCAGGCATGCTAAGGACCCATGAAGAGAAAACATGGTTTATTGTTAGGCTGTGAACTGTGGGTTGTTCACTATGACTTGTTATCTTGGCTGGGTTCAGACAATGAGATAACCTACACTTCAGCAACATCCCACAGTTCAATATGGTGCTAGAATCTGGAAAATATACTTTCCCAGCCCTGCCTGGAGATGCTGAGGATTGAATGTATAACTTCCTCTATGCAAAGCATGTAATCTACAACAGAGCAACACATTTTTCTGAACCCAGGAAGACCTTTTGTCAAGCTGTTGCTCCATCTAGCTCAGTCTTGCTAACACTGTGTGGCAAGGCCTTCAGAAGGTGGACTTCCTCGCTCCCTTCTGAAGAAGGAACTGGGTTCGGGACCTCTGGGCACATCTGCCATGCATGTGGTCACAAGTGTGTTACAACTCGTCTCAGAAGGAGAGTAAACATCCATGCTCTTTGGTCTGGCCTGCACACAGATACATGATTTTAATCTGCTGCTCGCAAGCTGTTTGGACTCCATCTTTGATGAAGAAAGCAAAGTTAAAAATCATTAAAGCAAAATAACACATGCAGTAGATGTGTCATTTGAGAAATGACTTTCTTGCAGATCTCAGGCAGTCTGGTAAAGGCAAACTCAAGATGCACCAGGGAGATCTGAGGGCTCAGCAGTCAGGAGAGCAATTTATAGCTACTACTAAAGGGCACATTCCAGGCAGGTTGGGACAGGAAAAGAGGTCCTAAGATTCTCAGGGTTCCTGAACCAGCAGTGCAGAAGGGAATTCCTTGGGGCTTAATCCTCCGGACTCCAAGAAATGACTTGCTTGTTTATAATGTTTGCAATCAGAAGCCAGAATTTTTTTAAATCCCATGATTCTGTCTTCATTTCACTAGGACATTAGACATGGCATAGAACTTCTCTCTTTTTTCACAATAAGCCGGAACTTTTGCACTTCTGCAAACAGCCTCATGAAATTAAGATGGAATGTGAAGGTCTGCAATCCTGTGCACACTTCCCTGGGAGCAAATGAGCCCTCCTGAAGTCAGTGGGGCTTACGTCTGAGCAAACAGTGTTAGAATTGCACCGCTTCAAGGAAAAAAGTTGCCCATTTTCATACCGAGAGAGCGCGAGAGGGGCAGACCTCCCCTTCCCCAGCCACTGAATATCACTTCCTGTTGCAGAAATGGGAAGCTTTCACACTTGCAACTGGCAAATCTCTCCGCAGTGGCTTGGGAAGGGCCTTCAGGGTGCAGGCTTGCTTCCTAGCAGAGATGCATGGGCTTGCAGGGTCAACCCCGGCTGGGCCTCCCTGAGGGCACTGGTCTGCCTCCTTGGCCCCAGCAGCACATGCTTCTGAGGAGACAGATGCAGGCTTGTCCTTTGACCTTCATGCACCACAGACACTCCACACCCATGCTCCACACCCACTCTGTTTTCATAATCTGCCTGCTGCAAACCACGGCTGAGGTTCCGCTCCCCGCTGCAGAAGTCAGGAAGTTGCCTGGCGGGGACGAGCACCAAGCACCTGCTGGCAAAGCTTTATGGCCACCTGCTTCTGCTGCTCGGGGAATGGAGCACCTTGCTTAACTGCCACTTCCTGCCAGGAAAGCGATAAAGTCCTTCTGGGGACCCACGCTTCACACTTTGTCAGCAGCACAGTAAAAGGCAAATAACACTCTGCATCACGTTGTTGCTGAAGCACATGAAGCTAAAGTTCTGCCCGTGTGTTGTGTGGGCTGAGGTGCTTTGCTTGTATATTCGTGACAGTGATATCCTGCTTTTTTTGGCGGTGGGGGGGGGTGTCCTTGTCCTTCTCTCCCAGTGCCATGGCACTGGGACCAAACCAGGCTGTCCTCCCATGTCTCCTCCTGGCACTTCCAACCCATCAGTTCCCAAGGTCTGCCAGAACACCCGGAGACAGTGGCCTTGAGATAACCACTCCCTCCTCCACCATCTTTATGTCCGTATCCTCATTTCCCACCATATTCTCAAACTCCTTGCCAAGGGAGGCTAGGTTGACCCCCTGTTTGTGATCCTTCTGCTGGCAGGCAAGTAATGTTTCTCAAGCAGCCCTTTGGCTTTTTGCTGAAGGGGTGTTAAATGGCAGCTGCTATGCATCTCTTTACTGCATTTGTGATGCCGATCTGAACTGCTTTGCTTTTACAGAATCATTTCACAATCAAACGGCAGGTGATGCAGCATGCAGTATTCCAGACGAACAAAGCAGACCACCGATAGTCCATCCAGTTTATAAAGCTGCATATATTTTAAAAAATAAATTAAGATCTTGGAAGCTGAAATTGCAATGTTTTAAAATGTTGTAAAGTTTAGATTTTAAAAATGTGAAATGTTTCTGGATAAACCATCAGCTTCGGTCACAAACAGAAGGATGTTGGCATCTTCTTGATATGGGTTTTCAGAAGATCAATGCTCCATCTTTCTCCTGTGTTGCATTTCTAGCCCAGAGATCTTCTCCCTAATCACTCCACCAGCATTGTGCTCTCTTCTATAAAGAAGCCAAGATCCAGCGCTTGTTTCTTGGCATGCCAGCCAAGTGGTCCTTTACCTTTGTAGGAGAGGTCTTCCCAGCAAAAAGAATGACATTCCAAGCACTCTGTTTTACAAATGGGACCTTGAGCTGTGCCCTTACCTTTCCCACAGACTGGCCCTTCCTGTATCCTGTATTCTGCAGCTGTTGTCACAGTCTCGACTTCACAAACTGTTTTAGTGCTAACAGGGCAAAACAGGCAAGACCAGCCCTAATGTTACAGTGGTCAAGAATCTTTGGGCTTCCTTGGCAAATCAGTCAGGCAGAAATGGATTGTCTAAACAGGCAGTTCTCTGATATATCACATCCTTCTAATAGCTGGAACTGGTATTCTGTAACATCACCAGTTTTACTGCCTTGTGTTTGGATACCTGCCTGTAATTATTTTTGGTCCCCCGAACAGCTTTCTGAATAATTTTTTATTTATTTTATATTATTAATTTTAATTTTATATTGTTATTTTTGTATTGTATTGTATTTTATTGTGTTGTAAGCCACCCCAAGGCTTCGGCCAGGGGTGGCATAGAAATGTTCTAATAATAATAATAATAATAATAATAATAATAATATTCTTTACCATCTGCCTTTTCACTAATTCAGGGTGTGCCAAGTCACTGTTCCATAATATACCCTTTCAACAGTTTTCCTATACCAGCTTGTTTCGAGTTGCTCATTACAGTACTTTGTGCTGTGCCCAGAAAGGGAAGGCAACATTTGGTGGTTCCTGTGCTAATTTTATACAATGTACCCCTTTTAATTAAGGTTTTGTTTTTGTTAGCCACCTTGAATGGCATTTTGCCCTGGAAAAGGCAAACTATAAATGAAACAAATACATCTTTTGAATTATATTTCTGTTTTAATGATAGCCCTTAGGTCTACATTTGCATATATACCTCCAAATCAACATTTATGTACATCAGTGCCATCTTTTGTCTTTTAAAGTGAGCTAAAATCAATTGTAGAGGAAGTGCGCGCGTGCACACACACCCCACCACAAATCTTATTATTTAAATATGTGCAAATTAAGTGTTTGCATACAACAAGAACTCTCTTCTGGCCCTTCCTGGGCACTTCACTTGATATGGGACTAGAACAAGAGCTAGGAGGACTCTGGGGGCCCTTCAGTTAGTATACATGTACGGTTATTGGAGAGATCTTATTTGACCTTTACCTCAGCAAAGCCATGGCTTAGACAGGAATGCGTACAAGTGCACTTGTGGTAAAACTGTCAGACAAATAGGAGCTTTTTTTTCTCTTCTGTTTCTTTCTCTTTTTTTTAACTTCCTGAAATGACCTGACTGTACAGCAGTGATAACAAGCTCCTGTCTGCTGGCTTTCCTTTCTGTTCCAAGCCCACGTGAAGACGGCCAGGTGCCTCAGTGCCACCAGAAGATTGCAATTTCCCAGGACAGACTGTTGCTGATGTCTGAGCATCCCAATGAGGTAAGGCTTTCCAACCACCTTGCACCTCTCTCTAAAAAGGCTTTTCCCGCTGACTTGCGAGTGATTCTTTCTGCATAGCAAACAGTGGCAAGAAAGAGGGGCTTGTTGGTTGCTTTGTTTTAAAAATGTATTTCAGCTAAGTGAGGTCTGTTTGGGCGAAAGATTCATGTGCTTGAAACGCATCTGAAAGCAAGAAGCTGCTAATAGGAATCCTAAGAGCTTTCTGGAAATTACGGAGAGTAATTAATCCCATTGCTCAATTCATGAATTCATTGCCTGCTTCTTTAAAGAACTGATTCACTGAATAAGCCTGTGTTCTCTGTTGGTCTAGAGGTTAGGACTTGAACTGATGTGTTAAAAATGCAAGAACAGGGTTTTGGACTTTACTTAGGCAGTAAGTCTGGATAGTAGAAGCTGTTAGACATGTGAACTGGCTGCCCGTAGGAAAGTGAAGGGCTCTTCTTTCCTAGTAGGATGCTGTAATAGTGAATTTTCTGCCCTGGAAGAGAGTCAGACAAGAGTCTCTCAAGGCACCCTTCAACCCTGAGATCTTATGATGAGATGTCCATGTTACAGCAACTTTAATAGGAGCACCTGCTAAAATCTTAGATCTTTAAGACCCGGCAAGATACCTTGTGCTTTGAGAAGCTCAAGCAACCCCCCTCGACTTGGCAAACCTTATGGGAACAAAGATGCTCCGGAGACATGGCTGTGCCCATCGCGACCTTCCACCACCCAGCCGAATCTTTAATTGAGGAATCTAATTCTGATTGAAATTTCTCTGGGCTTCTGGAGCAACATTTTGGTTCTAATTCTTGCTTCCTGAGATGATTAAATTGCCAAAATTGTATTGAAGCAGAAAACCCAGCTAGCCAGTCTTTCCTCTGACATTAAAAGGGGGTAGAACAGCTGCTAGTACCTGTCCAAGTAATTACAGGCACATGCCTGGCTAGCTGGAAGAGGTTCCCCAAGGTTTCAAACTAAAATCAATCTCTCTCTGTGTGTGCGCGCACATGCACGCACACACACACACCTGCTTTTCACATAAAATAATTCCACATTATAAATTGTAAAATTTATTATTAATTTATTATTTATTAAAATATTTAGGGTGACTCTAAATCCAGTTTATTCTGCTCCCTCCACCCACCAAAAAATGGAAAATGGCATGAAACAGGCATTATTATTACTGGTGAAATCCAAACGACCCTGCCCTGCTGCATCTCAAAAAAATACTATTAAATAACTTGTGCTGCAGTTTTGACGCTTTTAATTGTGGCGGTAATCTATGGCTTCCATTTACTGACTTGTGCAATGGGCACCTCCTAGTGGCAGGATTTACAATCTGAAAAGACTGTCATGGGCACCATCACAAAACAGTTTTTTTGAGAATGCAAACTGTTGAAACAGAGATCCTAACGTGGCAAAGAACCTACAGAGTCTGAGCTCCAAAACACTTAGAAACCCAAACGAGGACAGTATTGAAGAGCAGCACTTTGTTTTGCGGCACACCAGCCTCCCAGTAATTTTGAAACTTTAAAACATCTTAATAAAATAAAAACCAGAAGCGACAGGGAATCCGGTGGGGTGCCCAAGGGCTCCATGTTCAAGACCCTGGCTGTAGCAATGTTGAGTCCAGACTTAATGCAAAAACTGACGGAGCAACAAACTCAGTGTGTTGCCTGTAGGCAAGGATGCCTCTGTCAGGTACTTCAGCTAGAGATCCTGTAAGTGAAGGGACACATAAAGGAGTTAAGCCACCGCCAGGGCATGTTACCCTGCAGCACTGGAGCCCTCCCACTTGGTGATGTCTAAGATGCAAACTCTGGAACTTCTGATGATCTGGCCTGTGATTAAGTCCATGTGACAAGGGCAGGCAAGGGCACAGAAGATGAGAAATGGAAGATCGCCTGGCACTGATTTTAAAAATAAAGCTTTCAATCGGCCACTTGAAAAACAGCTTCCTGTACTGATCATTATGCATGAGGCTAGGAAGCAAAATGGGAGCAATTTGGATCATGGCCGTTGGTGGAGGAACACTGGTATAATCCACAGGACTGTGGGAAGGCAACAGAGGCGATCCATCCTGGCATGTCTTTAAGAACGTGCACGCATTTCGTCTGCACTCATATGAGAGTTGGCTATTGCCCCGTTTACAAACCTGAATGGCACATGACCAGGGGAACGAGTTCTTTGAATTTGTTCACAAACCCTCAAACATACACTTGCATTCAAAAAGTGGACAAATCTCAAAGAAAGAGCAATTAGAAGCAGCGGGGCTTGTTTAAAATGTGTGCTTTCATGCTTTCGTGTATAAGGAAAAGTTGTACAACTTTGAAAGATACTTGATTGTTGTGCAATTTTGCCTTTCCTTTTATTCACTTTCCATCCTTTTCCTGTTTGGGCAAATTGAACAGTGATTGTAAAATTGGACAGTGATTGGAAGTGCACCCAGAAGCAACTGGTGGAGAGAGCTGCATCAGGTTAATGCTAGGAGAATCTGGACAAACATAGAATCATAGAATAGTAGAGTTGGACGGGGCCAGGAAGACCATCGGGTCCACCCCACTGCTGTTTCAGGACACCAATTTACCCCACCCCACTCAGACGGCTGTCTGGTTTCTTTTTGAATGTCTCTAGTGTGGGACAATCCACCACCTCTGTAGGCAGCTTGTTCCTAGATGAAAATGGGTGATTAGAAGCTTAGTGCTGATGTATCCATTGAACAGTTGAACCTGTGCATGAATAGACTGGACCCACACAACAGCAGGGTCTAAGGACAAGAGCCCCTGGACTTGCGCCTCCTCTTCACCACTGCCCCCCCCCCCCACATTCTACCACCACCAGGAGAACAAGACAGCAAGGGAGGCCTGCCCATGTGTGAGCTCTGAGGCTCGGCTGCAGAGTGAAGTTGCATCATTCGGAAAGATGCCGTCCAACCACCATGGTTTGTGCTTGGGCTTGCGGGTGCATCCACCCACGTTCGCCACACTGCATTTTCCCACAGTGGTGGCTGGATCAGTCCTGCAGACCACTTGACGCTGCAGCAGGGCCAAAGAAGAGGCAGAAGCACCTGAGAAAGTGAGCCAGCGGGCGAGATGAGACCTCTAGGGCAGCCTGGAGGTCTGCAGTTCACCACCCCTACTTTAATGGCTCGTTATCCTAGGCTGAGGGAGGAGGGCTGGACAAGGGCTGGCCCTGGAAGCCCCTATCTCAGCTTTCACTTCTGCAAGGGCAGCTGTTGTTAATGCAGATGTGCGACTGAGCTGCACGGTGTTGGTTTTCTGATGCAGGCTGATGATGTGGGTGGGTCACTTCCTTCCCCTCTGAGCGATCCTTCTACTCAAGCTGTTACTTGCTTTGCATTGGGGTTTTTCCATTTTGCCACCTTATGGGGGATTTCCTCTGCATGGAAAAGAAGCCGTTAGTGAAGACTGCAAGGGAAGCTAGTTCACCCTCTCCATGCCTGCTTTGATTCTGTTAATTATCAGCACCCCACCAAGCTCCCGATAAAGGTTTCATGCCAAAAAAAAAAAAAAAAAAAAAAAGGCTCCCTGTCCATTTCTGCCATGTTAGAGGTGAAGATATAGTTGCATATTTGATTTGCATAGAATTGCTTTTCCCATCCTGATGACCTCCCAGTGTTTTGGTCCACAATTCCCACCATTCCTGATCATTTGCAATGATGTCTGGGGATCATGGGAACTGATATTCAACATAATTGGAGGATGCTGTCTTGGGGAGGATTGGCATAACCATTAAGAGTGAAAATTTCAGCAGGAGCAAAGAGGTGTATGAGCTGACTGGGCAGGGACATTGCCAATGGGGATGGGCGAAAGTGATATTAGGCTAGTTTTTACTTTCTAAACTGTCTGCCAGCCCATGATTGGGCCCAGTTTAAAGTGTTGCTATTAATAAAGTCCCAGACAGCTTGGGCCAGGTTATCTGAAGGATCTTCTCCTCCCGTATATACCTGTCCAGACCATAATATTGTCCTCAGACGTCTTCCTCAGGAGCTCCTGCCAAAGGAAGTCCAATGGCAGGCTACCAAGAAGGTCTTTTCTGTGGTGGCACTCCAGTTGTGGAATAAGCTTCCTAAGGAGGCCTGCCTGGCACCAACCTTGTGCTTTTTCTGGTGGTAGGTGACAACCTTCATATTTCCCCAGTTGTTTTAACTGTTTTAAATCTGTTACTATATTTTAGAATATTTCATTGTTGCTAGTTTTACTGGGTTTCTACTATTTTGCACTCTCGATTTGAATTTTTGTGTAGTATTCTTTAGTTTTAATAGTTGAAAACTTTCCAGGTAACTTTGGATGTTGGGTGTATAGAAAAGTAAATACGTAAATAAGTAATCCTGGACACACAAATAAGACATAAACCCTGTGGAGATAAGTGATACTTTGTTGGTATTTTAACCTGGATGCCCCTGTGACAGGACAGGAAGGCAAGAAATAAATATTCAAATCAACTCATAAGGGGCTGTTTGCAGAATTAATCATTCTTCCAGGAGATGCATTGAAAGCAATGGGACTTAAATTAGTCATGGGAATTATTGATTTCAATGGGTTTGCTTCGGGGGGGGGGGGCGGAATGCAGAAATTAGGTCAGCTGGACAGCCCAATTCCATTTCCAAGAAAATTGTAAGAGTCATTTCATTGGTGAGTGTGGGGAAAAAAAAGGATCAGGGACAAAAATACTTGCTCTTACTGTGAATTAAGACTCTAGAGGGGCATTTCAGCCTATGGGGATGGAAGGAGAATGTGCCCAAAAGCTGGGAAACCACCAAACCAAAGTCATCCAGATAAGGAGTGGATCTAGGGAAAGGAATGCAAGTTCTGGAAAACTCTAGAGGCCTGGATTGGAATCCCAAGAAGGCTGAATCTGCCTGCAGGTCTAAGTGTCTGCACCCCTGGTCTACTCGGATCATGACCAGATCTGGATCCAATCCTATGCATTTTAACATCATTGAAAGCACAAACCTTATGCCAGTTGTTTGCTTTTTGCAGGATACATAACCATTCCAAGGGAGTGACCCCTTCAGTTGACCGATCCCTGAATGGGAGTTCAGCTACATGGGTGATGCAGAGCACTGGTGAAACAGACAACTGCTCCGAGCCCGGAGCAGACTTCCAGCATTCTCTGTATGCAGCTGCCTATACGCTCATCTTCATCCCAGGAATCCTAATGAACAGCATGGCTCTCTGGGTGCTCTACCGCTTCGTAAGAAAGCACAACAAAACCATCATCTTCATGGTGAACTTGGCCACCGCTGACCTCGCTCATGTGCTCTCGTTGCCTCTGCGGATATATTACTACATTAACTACAGATGGCCATTTGGGACGTTCCTTTGCCAGTTCTGTTTCTACCTGAAGTATCTCAACATGTATGCCAGCATTTGCTTCCTTACTTGCATCAGCGTGCAAAGATGCATCTTCCTCCTCTACCCGTTCAGGGCCAAAGACTGGAAACAGAGGTATGACGTGGCCATCTGTGTTGTCGTGTGGATCTTCGTTGGAGCTGCCTGCTCACTCTTCCTCTTGTTCAGGACTTTTAATAGCCCTGAGAAGTGCTTCACGGAGCTCAGCATCAACAAGATTGGCAGCGAGACCAACTCCATCCTGCTGGTGATGGTGGCTGAAGTTGTCGGGTTCTTGCTCCCCCTGGTCATCATCGTCTATTGCACCAAGAAAACGAAGGCTTCACTTCAGGAATGCCCAAACCCATTGCAGAATGCCACTGAGAAGCAGAAGGCGTTACGGATGGTAGCATCGTGTGCCATCGTGTTCTTGGTGTGCTTCACGCCTTATCACATCATGTTTTTCTTCTTCATGTTGGTAAAAGAGAGGCTGATCAAAAACTGTGCCATAAGACAGAGCATCTTGTACATCCACCCATTTTGTTTAAGCCTTGCGAGCTTCAACTGTTGCTTGGATCCAATCCTGTATTTCTTTACCACATCCGAATTTCAGAATCAGATGTCGAGGCACAGCAGTTTGGCCATCAGGAGTCGTTTGATGAGCAAGGAAAGTGCCTCTTCTGTTAAGGAGGAAATGCGTTGGACTTCAAATTAGTTGGCGAATCATAGGAATGGAGTTGTCCTGCTCCAAGTCAGACCACTGGCCAGGGCAGGCCATGAATGGCTTTCAGTCCTTAGGCTGGGAGAAGCTCTTAAGAGGTGCATTCCAGCAACCTTTGCTCTGAAGGTAACAGGGCAGGGCCAAAATTACCAAAACTATCAACATATTATAACTCAAAGCTCTTACTGACAGCAGTTAAGGCTTATGAGAGGCATTCCATTCTTTAAGAATAAGGAAATGTACAAAACCCAGGGAAAAACTGAGGGATTGGTACTTGGGGAAAGCAGTCGGACTAAAGGAAGAGTGTATGACCCTTTGGGGGACACTAGAGGTCTGGATTGGGACACCTGCTATGCTGTATTTGAACCTCTAGAACCGAGGTTCTGCATTCGTGATCCACTCTGAAAGAAGCTAGACCCGAGGTTCTGCATTCTTGCCCCACTCTGAGTGAAGCTTTGGTGTTGGAGAAGCTTCAGCCAGTCTCTCCCAGACTTGCCTGGAAATGGCAGGGCCTGAACTTGGGACCTTCCGTAGATTGTAGTGAAAAAGGACCATTGCCAATGCTCTGGCCATAAGAACCCAAGAAAGGGGCTGGGGATCACCGTGCAAGCCCTTCCTCAAGGAGTGAGGAAGGCATGCATCTCCTCTTAAAAGCCCTTGGAGTTTTGGCATTTTGCCATCGGCTCCCAAGCGAAGCTCTTGCTGTAAGTTCCATCCCATCTCATGATGTTCTGGCTGAAGCCTGGACCCACGAAGCTTAGAGCGGAACACACGGCGCTGACGGGACTTCTGAAAAGCCGTGTGCCCTCGAAATACGAGAACTGGACTTGATTCCTTCTCACCTCATGATCAAGGTCACAGATTATACTCTGCTCTTATTTGTGCAAATGCATCTTATCTTGGCTGCTCCTGCCCTCTGTTGGTGAAGAGAAGTAATTACTTTCCAAAGTATTTGCAAAACTTGTGGGTGAACAAGCCGAATCTGGTGCCATTGAACTGTTGACTATAGTCTTTGAATAAGTGAAAATAGCCGTGCCTTGGGGCAGGGTAAGACTTGTGAGTGCGGCTTCCCTATGACACAAGTTTTCATGGGCTTCATAGGACGTGTTTTCCTATGTTGGCAGATATACATGCATATAACTGGGGCCATTGTTGGGTGGTAGCTGATGGACCATGAGCTCCCGGACAACCCCACCCCCCCACCCCGGTTTGCTCCTCCTCTTCTTCATCATTAAAACTAAGACTTTTGCTGATGCCATCATGAATGGCTTAGTCCTTCAAGTGCCACAAGATTTTTTTCTTCTGTTTGTGTTGCAATGGCTAAGCAAGCTGTTTTCTCCCTCTGGGAGGGGATATTAATCCAAGTTGCCCCACTAATTCCCAGTGCTGTGCTCAGGTGCAGCCTTGGTGGTAGGTTAAAGGGCTGGGTTCGCTTTCGGGTGGCATCTTAGGATTGCCAAAAAAGAGAGAATGCATGATTTTAAAAAGGACCGAGAAGACCTGGATTCATGTGAAGTGCTTGTACACACACGCACACACAGCTCTCTATGCGCTAGCACCGATACGTATGTGTTGGTGCACATTTAGAAACTGCAACTACTTAAAACAAACAAAACCACAGTAGATCTCACCAGAATGGAGGAGACATTGATGGGGACCGGCGTGCCTGGCTCAGGCTGCCGTCCAGGTGCTGCTACCTGTGGGTGGGACTCCAAGCTGCCCCAGCCTGGCCAACCTGCTCTCCCTCCCTGCAGTCCTTAGCGAGCCCCTAGGCTGCCTGCTTGCCAGCTGGACACGCACAAGGTCCACGGGAGCCTGGCGCTTTGGGCAGGAGCAGGAGACGAGGGGCAGCCTTCCTCCAGAATGGAGCAGGCCAGCAGATTGTGGAGAAGGGGACTCTGCCCACTGGTCCCAGACTGGACAGAGGTTTTCCCACTTGCCTCCTGAAGTCTGAGTAGACAAGTATATCAGTCTTCACTGTTCACACCATAGCTAAACACACATCCCATCCTGGTGCCCTCCCAGATCTATAGAGCTGGAACTCCCATCATTCACCAGGTAGAGAAAATCAAACTTTTAGTCCAGCACGACTTGAGTGTGGGCAGCTTGAGCGAGTTTTGCGGAAATCGACTCCCCAGCCCCCTTACCTATTGCTAATACTTTCTTTTTACGTCTTGTCTAGTTGTAGGCAAAATGGACATTTTGTAAAAATAAATTCTGTATGTTAATAATGTGATCTAAACCTACATATGTGTAATATATTCCGTGAAAAGTACCTGCCATTCCCCTGTGAATTATGTAATTTTCTACTTGTGCTTTCAAATTTATTCTTCTTTTCTTCTCAAAAACCATAAGAACTTTTTTATACATTCAGGTGCATCCTGTTGATTATTTTTAACTGCTGATTTTCAACAGGATACAGTTCCCTTCTTGCCTATAAGCCCCTACAAAAAAAGAGAAAGACAAGCATGATTCTGTAGCTGCAGGCATTTTTTTAAAAAAGAAAAGTCAAACGGTATGAGAAGCTTAAGAGCATTAATTCTGACATTAGGGGGAAATAAGGCGAGAATCTAGTTTTAGGATGCGTTTTTATTGCTATCACTATTCTTTTAAATGGATTACTATTAATGCTAAAACTAGCACAAGTGGATGGAGGCATAGATGGAAAGCAGGTACACTTGTCCCTTGCACTCCTCTTCTTAGCACCAGCCACTGAGGGATGTCAGAAGTGGGGCAGAAACTTTTCCACATGGAACTTTTATTGTGTGCTTGGGATCCTTTGCACATGGGGGTTTATGTAGGTTTCTGTCTTAGAACAGGGAAAATAGGGTACTACAATAGGACAGGCGAGTTGCACTGTTTCTCCTGTTGTTCTGGTGTCGCAGAGCCCCACCTAGCGGTGATGTAGCAGAAAAGCAGGAAAAGAAGAAGTGAGAACTGAGCTTGGATCTCAATGCTCTGCCGGAGCCAAAAATAGATACAGTGATTAACAACCTTGTGTGCAAAATCCCATGGCATAAGAGCCAGGAAACACGATGGAACTGGTAAAACCTTGCTGTTCAGACCAAGCCTGATACCAAACAGAAAGCACTTTAAATGTATACTGCCACTGGAATTAGTATGCTACATGTAACGGTAAGATTTACGTATAGATTCACGAATTAAGCCCAATGCAGCAGTATTAGCAAAAGAATGTATTCAAAATGGTATGTTTTCTATCTTACGAAACATTAAGTGAAAAATAAGAACGAAATTAAATGTATAGCCCCCCCCCCCATACACACCTTTAGGACACAAAAATTTCCACCAATTCAACAGATTACCAAAAAAAAAAAAAAGCAAACGCTAGTTTTGCTTTTCTTTCCCTGAGCCTGACTTCCTGGAATCTACAAAGTTTCAGTTTAATGATCTGGGTAAATTCTGGGAACAGTTTAGCCATTCTTTTATATTTGGTCCTGTTCTTTTTTCTATTTCTAACTCACCATGTGCTGTTATTCTATAATAACAGCAACTGCCCGAGTGACAAGCCTTATGCAGCCCAAGTGGAGTCATCCTCACGCAAGAGGGAGGTATCCACAAGCTAGGAGCAAGCTAGGACCTTTGGAAGAACAAAAATACACAGGGAACAAAAATACACAGGGAACAAAAAATGTGCTAAGGAGTGAGAAGAAGCGACAACCCAAAATCAACCTTAAGAGGACTGGACAGATTAACTAGGCCCAAAATGTCTCACGACTGTTTTAAAAGGGGATGGAACTCGTGTATTCTGAGACACTGTGGAGCGTGGGATACAACAGCTTTACATAAATAAATGTGGAAAGGGGAAATGGGAGGGCAGGCTGGCTGGCTGACTGGGTCACTGAGGAGGAGTGTCCCCTGCTGTTGTGGGTTCCACTTCCTGATCGGTATCTGTCCTTTCTTGATGTGTGCATGCATGACAGAGCAAACAGCCTGATATTTCAACCGATCAGCCCCAGCCAACATGGCCACCAGCCAAGGATTATGGTGCTGTAGTCCAAAACATCTGCAGGCTAACTCACTCAATAACTGGGCAAAAGCTTCCCAAGCATCAAACACGAGCAACCCAGAGGACGCTCCAAAACTGGCGGCAGTCTCTGCCACTCCTCTCCAAAAGCTCCGGGTCATTCTGGCTTCACCAGCATGCGTGGGACCACCTGCTCTTCCAGCCTGCAAGGATGCAACCCTTGGCATCAGCGGGCTGGTGGCGATGGAATTAGGAAGGCTCTTGTGCCACAGGTGGGAGCCCCCATAACCACATTTTATGGCAGAGAAAACCGTCCATGCTGTTGGGCCCTTGGCTGTTGGCCCATTGCTCAGGTCACTGCTTGTGCTTACCTTGCAGTTCTAGTATATTTATTTATTTAAAATGTTTATATGCCGTCCCAATATTACGTCTCTGCACGACTTACAAAAAACAAAATGACAAAGCAACCCTAACTACAGCATACAACACACTGATTGATTGATTGATTGATTATATACAAATGCGCGCACACACATACTCTATAGGGTGACTTTTAGGATGGAACAAGTTCTGCAAACCTGAATCCTTGCTTCTTGAACTATTGCACCAGTCCCCTTTAGTTCGTGCTTTTGCACTCTGCATATATATCTATCTAGGGTGTAGTCCTGTCACCTCTGCCCTTGATTCATGTAAGCCTCCAAATTCAGAGGCTGACATCCTTGTCCTGCCCAGACTGAGCCATGGCAGTGACTTTCTCTACCACCAGACTTGGCCTTGTGTGTTTTTTCCAGATGGCTGGTTTTGGCTGTCTGGATAAAACACCAGGGGTGGGGAGGGAAGGAAGCTGGTGCACCGTCAGGAAATGGCGCCAGCCTCCTCCCCTCCCTGCTTCCCCATCACACCCCTTCCCTCCTTCGCCAAGAGGCATTTGTGACTGGCACAGTTCTTTCTGTTCAGCTGTAAGGAGCATGGGAAGGGGCTCAGCCCTTCGTGTTCCAAAGAATCCTACGCCCCCCCAAGACAATCTTGGGAAGTCACAGGACTGTGTCCTTATTCATCTAGTTTCATTATCTTTAGCGTGTCTGTGAGGGTTCTCCATTGCCCACCTGGATATTCCCCACTTCATAGCACATCCCTGCCTCCATTGACAGCTTGCATCAAGAGATATGAAACAATGCTCTTTCATCTGCAGAGCAAACGGCTAAAGTTGTTTAGGAACTGCCTGCCAGGGTTAGAAAGGAGAACAGACAGAACCGCGTGTGGTGAACCATCAGCACCTTCTTGGTGGTGAAGGACGTCCAGGCCCTTAATACGCCCTGCCCATCCAGGTGATCACCTGTGGGTGATCACCCACAGCTAAGGATTTAGTATGGGTCATTATTCAAATGCAGGTTGCTGTTAAAAATTGGGTTATTATGGGAACATGGGTTATCATGCTGTTTGAACCCAGCTCTGCTAACAAGCCATGGGTTGTTAGCCATAAACAATCCATGAATAGAACCCATGGTTTGTTGTTAGGTTGTGAACTGCGGGTTGGTTATTATTACCACAGTTTGTTATCTTCCAACTGTGTTGAGAAACATAGCCTATATTTCAACAACATTCAAAGTTCAACAACTCATACTCAGCCTTCAAATGTAAGTTATTGGTTTGTCTGAACCAAGCCACTATGCCAGCCTCTCTAGGGACAGGCAGCTGTGTTGATCCATGTGGGTGGGTGTGCCTATTTTATACTGTGACTATATTATATGTGTGTACACGAGATAGCTTGCAATTATGCATGAAGGAAAGAGCAAGTTTCTATTTTAATGTGAACTAACCTAATTTTGCACTTTTGAAACACTGTATGATCTGAAACCCACATCCTTTGAAATTCACAAGCTCTGAAATTTTTGCAGTGGAGGTCTCCATTCAGCTTCTGTTTCAAATAGCATTATATTAGCAAATGGCTTGCAAAATATGTATGCTAGGCTAAAATGCATACAAAACTGCATGCATTGGGAGAAACATGCAAATCATATGAATTTCATAGGAACCCAAACAAAAACTCTCAAAATTCATTATGAACCAAGCAGAAGATGTAGAAACTCTCAATGTTCAAAACAAATGGAGCATACAGTTTGATCCGTTGAGAATTCAGAGAAAACTGAGTGGAGGTGACCAATTGCTGTTTGTGCTAATCAAGAAGTCCCATCCTACTTTGACTGATCTGAGAGGTGAACTTTTGGGTCACAGAACTTGTGGCCATTGCCACACAACCTCAACCTTCTAATGGGGAAATGGAGATAAGATACAAAGTCAGGCAGGCATGCAAAGAGGTGGAACACACTTAAGCAGCATTTTAAATGTTAATACTATTGAATTTTATCTGGCCAGGGTGGCTTATTTTATATTGTGTGTGTGTGTGTGTGTGTATTTTAAATTATTATTATTATTTTAATGTGTATATTTTAATTTATGTGGTTTTAATTTATTGTTGTAAGCCGCCCTGAGGCTTCAACGAATGGGGCGGCATAAAAATGTTTTAATAAATAATAATAATAAATAACACTGAACACTGGCAAAGCAAATGCACTCAGTGCCTAGCAGCTCCTTGCAGAGCTAACCAATCCCAGTGATGTAATCTGTTGAGTTTGCTTCTACTCCAGCAGCTGCGGCTATGAGAGCTTTTTTTGTTGTTTTTTAAGAGAGGAAGAAAAGTAAGATACAGGATTTCCTTTCATACAATCATACCTCCCATTTTCAGATGGATGCTTCTGAAGAGTTCTCAAAGACGGTTTAAAGAGCTGCTTTACTATAAGGAGGCTGGGATGGTGCAGTGAAAAAGCTGAAACAGAAATGGGTAACAGTGGAGCTGAAAGATGCTTTATTTCTCTTCTTGTCACTTTTGTTTCTTGGTTATCCAGAGTTCGAAGAATGGAAACTGCAGTGAGGTAAGGCCAGTTCTTTCTCTCAGCAAAATGAAGACTAGAAACACCGACTGTATTTAATGGAAACAGAGAAATCTTGGGCCATTATTTCAATATAGACATGGTTAGGGTCAGCCGATAAACCAGTGTCCTGAGAATATATTTGTGAAGGAAGTGTTATTGAATTCAGTGGTGTTTACTTCTGAAGGAGTATCTGTAATTGATAGGATGTTGGTAAAGGGAGAAAGTGCTTGGCTAGACATTTCTTTCTCCCGGAAAATATTCTGCTCTAGCATTGATGGTCATATATTTATAACCAGCAATATTTAATATTTTTATTACTGGCATGCAATGCAATTTATTTCTTTATAAGAAATATGAAGTTTTTACCCAAAACTATTTCATAAAATAAGAGAAAGACATTCTGTTTCAATGGGAGATAAACCATTTTTATTTTCCCTGTTTAGCTGGTATTAGAGAATTATTGGTATTTACTTCATTTATTCCTTTCAGTTTGGGTCTGCTATTAGCTAGTGATATTTCTTTAAAGCTCACTTCAGTGATGGGGCACAACTTCTGATGTGTTGAATTATCATTTCCACTAGAGATGTTGGTGCAAGAATGAATGAATGAATGAATTCGCTGCCTTGGTTTCCATGGCGGGGTGGGGGGGGGAGCTCTTAAAGCTCACACTGATGGCAAATGAGCCTCAAGTGAGGCACACCACCCTTGCAGAGTGGGGCAGGGGGTGGGAGGCCCCATGGGCCAGTTTGGTGCCTCCAAAGGAGTGGATTTGAACCCCATCCCGAGCATCTGAGCTTGAAGCAACCCTGCCAGAGGATGGGACACTGGCTTTAACTCCATTGTTGTCTATTTGACTTTATTTTATTTATAATTCCATTTATATCCCACGACTCTTCCTCTTGCAAGAAGTATACATGGTCCTCCACTTCTCCATTTTAACTTCACAACAACCCTGTGACGTAGGTTAGGCTGAGAGCCAGCGACGAGCCCAAAGTCACCCAGTGAGCTCTATAGTCAAGGGGGGATTAGGGCCTGGATCACCCAATGCTCAGTTCAGCTCTCTAACCACTACACCCACTGGCCTCCATGGCCATTGAGCATGAAAGCCGAGATTTCTGGGAGCTGCAATCCAACATGCCATGAGAGCACCACACTGGGGGAGACGGAGAAACGCGTTTGCGCATGTGATCCCAGCCGCTGCTTTGCGTCGGCCACCAAAAAGGGCGGGCTGGGTTGCGCACAGGCGTTCGTTTGCACAAAGCACATTCAAGCGTTGCAAACTGGCCCTGAAACTACTTTTTGAATAGGGCTTAAATGGAAATATAAAAAAACACCAGAACTGGGTGGAGTCGAAAAATCAAATGTACTGTGGCAGCTTTCTCTTGGTCTATGACTCCACAAGCATCTGTAAAGTGGAAATAAGACCAAAATTGCAAAAAGAAAAAAAAGAGAGCGGAAAAAAAAAGAAAAAGAAAAGAAAACGACCCACCACAACAGGACTGAGGCCAAATGACACGTTTTCACTGGCTTCTTCAAGAAGTTTTCCTTAGGAAAATCTTTGCCTCTCAAGTACTTGAGGGCAATGCCTTCTGTTCTTTTACTAAACGTACTTTGAACACGGAGAGTGAAAATTAATCTGGTACAGGATCAGATTTAGGAGCAAGTGACCCAGGGGCCCAGGCGGGGAGCTGGCCATGGGCACAGGACTAATAGGAACTTAGGCAGGGATGCTGTGGAAGATTCAAAGGAAACCGGATTTCTTTCCATCCACCCTGTGGCTTGTGCAGTAGACAATTGTTTTCCAAATCATGCAGACTTGTGGCCCCTTTATCACTTTTGGTGGGGAACTGACCCATCAGAACAGTATCTAAATCTAAATCTTTACAAGTAGACTAAGCCTGGTTCGACTCAAGTTTGGTTCCACTCGTATTTACCCCATTTGTATCTTTCGATAGAAGAACACCACCTTTCCAAAAGATGAATTGTGCACTCATGTCTCTTCAACACCCTTCCGCCAGTGCTTTCTGATGACCAAATCTGTGCGATAGAAAACGACGACACCATCTTGGAGTCATCTGAGAAGAGGAAGATGTTTTATTAGTAGCACATCTGGAGATACAAGAAAATGTCAGTTGTCAGTACACCCCACCCTTGTTATTAATAGGATGTTACTGGGCTGGTGAAAATATTTGACTTTAGTTCCTCTTGCTTATGCGTTCATCAATGCAGTAGCAAAAGCGAAAGCCCCAGGGATGTGACCCTCAAGCTCATTACGGTGCAAATGCATATATGCCTCTTGAGTTTCCTTCCTCTTGTATCAGAACAGTTTTGATCCAGTACTGAGTAAGTTTATTTAAAGGTTTATCTTTATCTTGTGTGGGTCAAGACAGACGTTATTTTAAATGTGTATCTAGCAACTCTGTCCTATTTTAGATTTTATTCCAGAGAAGTGCAGGGAATGACCCAGATCAGGGCCCTAGTGGGTAGGTAGAGGGATTTGAACTCCTCCCAATCTAGACTGAGGCTGCTTTTTCCCATTTTCACTCTACTTTACAGTGAAATGGGGAAGAAACAGATGTAGTTGCTATATATGAGTTTAAAACAGTCTGTTTTGGTCCTATGCTTATGTCTTTGTGCATGGAAATCCTCTAAAATGGGGATGATATGATTTTTAAACATTCTCTTTCCAGGGGCCTTCTGCTCAATCACAGTCACCTTTAAGGAGTCCCCCGATCTGAGCAAGATGCAGGACCATAATTCATCACCCAATTGCACTGACTATTCCATGGGCTTCCAGGCCTCCATGTATGCAGCCACTTACATAATTATTTTCATCCCTGGCCTCCTCGGAAACAGTATTGCCCTCTGGGTCTTGTGGCACTTCGTCACGAAGAAGAAAAGAGCAGTCATTTTCATGATCAACTTGGCTGCCGCCGACCTGGCCCACGTCTTGTCTTTGCCTTTACGGATGCATTACTACCTCAACCACACCTGGCTTTTCGGGAACTTCCTCTGCCAGTTCTGTTTCTACCTGAAATACCTCAACATGTACGCAGGCATCTGCTTTCTCACCTGCATCAGCATCCAAAGGTATCTCTTCTTGCTACACCCCTTCAGAGCCCAGAACTGGAAGTGCAGGTACGACGTAGCCATCAGCACCGCTGTTTGGGCCGTGGTAGGAGCCGCTTGCTTACTCTTGCCGGTGCTGAGGAGCTCGAGCTTAACCAACAACACCAACACCTGCTTTGCAGATCTCGGAGTCAGGCAGTTAAACCAGGGAGCCTCCATCGCTTTGGTGGCAGTGGCAGAACTCTCTGGCTTCCTGGTGCCCCTTGCCATCATCCTGTGCTGCACGTGGAAGATCCGACAGTCCCTGCAAGCGTCTGACACTCCCTTGCAGCGCACCAATGAGAAGCAGAGAGCGTGGCGCATGATCCTCGGATGCGCGGCTGTGTTCTTCGTATGCTTCACGCCCTACCATGTCAACTTCCCTGTATTTATGATGGTGAAGCAAGACGTCATCACAGACTGTTCCACACGCCACCACATTCTTTGCTTCCATGCCGTTTCTCTGTGCCTTGCGAGCCTCAATTGCTGCTTGGACCCGATTCTCTATTATTTCACGACTTCAGAGTTTCAGGAAAGGTTATTCCAGTCTGCCGGTGGCAACATCTGGAGATCGTTCATCAACAGGATCCTGAACAGAGGCAGGATCAGGGCGACCAGAGTTGGTGAGGAAGAGGAGAGAAATACAACTGTTCTAAGGACTTATTTTTGGACGTTTCAGCGCCACTGATCTGAAAGCAATAGCATGGAGCTGACTTTGTCCGCTTAGCGAAGGGAGACGTCACGCATGGGTGGACTTACTTGAAATCACATCACTTGGCCACTTAGCATTTGAAGACTCCCGAGTCATGAACCAATTCCTCTGAAAAGTATTGTGTGTGAGTTGTTGCTGGCAAATACAAGCATTCCACATGCAGCAATTAATCTCTGCTGGCTCCCAATTTATCACTCGATATAACAACCAATCCTTAAGTGTTAGGAACTGCAAGGCCAACATTTATAAAATGTCCTTACCCAGGCAGGTCCATAAAGTACACACGTTGTTGGGGTTTTTCAGACTGCGAGTTCAGCCTGTTTATATATTATCCAATGGAAGATTTGTGGCTTTTGCTGAGTCACTTTTTTTACTTGATTTTACAGTGTGGATGGTTGTAATCAATAAGATACTTTGGAGATAGATAGATAGATAGATAGATAGATAGATAGATAGATAGATAGATAGATAGACAGACAGACAGACAGACAGACAAGGAGGGAGATAGACAGACAGACAGACAGACAGACAGACAGACAGACAGGGAGGGAGGGAGGGAGGGAGGGTGATAGCTAGATAGCGAGATAATGAAATAGCTAGATAGGCAGGCAGGCAGGCACCCCATGCCTGACTGCCCACCCACGACTTCTGGCTTTTGACTCCTGGCTCCCAGTTCTCGCTGAACAACTGCATATGACTCTTTCTTGGCAGGCATTAATGAGAAAGAGTCTCCCGCCCCCCATAAGTCTGTTAATCCATTTCTCTAAAGCCTGAAGTGCTCGATCCTGCCTCATCCTGGAAGCTAAGCAGGGTCAGGCCTGGTTGAAATCTGGAAGGGTGACTTAAAGTTGTGAGCCTCCTAGATAGCTTCAGTTATGGATGGTATAGAAATGCAATTTATTAATAAAAATCCTCCTCCTCCTCCTCCTCCTCCTCCTCTATCATCATCCACTCTGGCTGCAATCCCATGGCCTCCCAACTTTGTCCAGGGGGGGTGGTCATAGGTTTCTTTGGGGTCCCAGCACCAAAGTCCTGTGACAGCCAAGCTCTTGCCCCACTCCCCTCCTAGCCACATAGAAAGAGCTACACCGGCCGCCGCCTCACCAAGAGTACAAATACACTTGAGAGGGGAGGAGGATGGGTGTGGAGGCAGCGGCAAGGCACCAACCACATATACCACGTCCTCCTGGCAAAGGAGCCGCCTTCTTTCTCACTCCCTGGTGCTTTATTTAGGCAGCAGAAAAGAGCTGTCTAGAGAAAATGCTCAGCACGAACGGCAGCTGCACCACCATGCCTGGCTCTGGCCACTGGATGCGTGCTAGACTCTGCGCGTGGGGCTTCTACGCATCTGACTTGGGGAGCCCTGCATGACTCCCTGAATCTACCTTTGGCTTCCTTGCAGAACTTAAACCCAAGCTGCACACCCCGAGCTTGTTCTTGCCCGCTTTTCTGCCCCCTAAGCAGTGTGCTGCTATAATGCCATCTCACACATAGGAAAATGCATTTGCTTTTTCAGATATTCCACTTTCCCTGCCCACACACGCCCTGCAAAAGTGCTCTTCAAAGAGGGAAGCAAAACTGGAGGGTCACGCTGTCACCAAGAGAACTCGTGAGCAACCATGACTAAGGAATGACAAGTGCCGCAGAAACGTTTTGTGCAGAAAAGCTCTCGATGCAAAAACCGTCAGAGAGTCCATTTACAAAACGAGCACATGAAGTTAGTTCCCGGATTCTGCTCACCAAGCGCTTCCTGTTGTAGTTATGTGTCATTGAGCCATTCAGCTGTCCCAGGGGCAAGGCTGTGGTTTCCTTGATGGAGTCCGTCCATCTCATATTCAGTCTTCCCTTTCGTCTTCTGCCTCCAACTTTTCCTAACATGCTTGTCTTCACCAGGGAGTTGTGCCTTCTCATGATGTAGGACGGACAAACTAGGACAACCTCAGTTTGGCCGTTTTTGCTTCTAGGGAAATCTCTGGCTTTTTCTGATCCAGGACTTCTGTTTCTTCTGTCCAGGGTATTTACACAGCTCTCCTGCAGCACCATGTTTCAAACACATCAATGTTCTTCCTGTCAGCTTTCTTCTCTGTCCAACTTTCACATTCATACATTGTGATTGGGAATACAGTAGTCTGGATAATCCTGGCCTTGGTTTCCACAAAACATTCTTACATTTAAGAAAGATACATTTATCTTTTCTAGTGCTTCATTGCTGCCCTTCCATATATCAATATTCTTCTAGTTTCCTGACTGCAGTCTCCCTTTGAATTGGTGTACAAAATCTTGCACAATTTTGATTTCTTCATTATTAACAGTAAAGTTCTGCAATTCTTCTGTGGAAGTGATTTTTTTCTTAATGTTCAGCTACAGTCCTGCTTTTGTGCTTTCTTTTTTCACTTTCACCAGGAGTTGTTTCAAGTCGTTGCTGCCAGTGCAATGGTATCATCTGCATATCTTAAATTAATGATAATTTCCCCTTCGATTTGCACTCCTTCCTCTGATTCTAATCCCACTTTCCGTATGATGTGTTCTGTGTACAGAATGAACAGATAGGGAGATCAAATACATCCTAATCTGAGGCACATTCTGTTCTTACATTTTCTGTCTTAACAGCAGCTTTTTGTCTGTGATACGGGTTCTGCTTCAGGACAATCAATGCCGAGGCACCCCCATTTCTTTCAAGAATATCTATAGCTTCTCATGATCCACACAGTCAAAGCCTTTGCTGTAATCTATAGAGCATAGACTGATCTCTTTCTGGAATTCTTTGCTGTATTGCAGTAGCCAATGTATATTTGCAATATAAACTCCAGTGCCTCTTTCTGAAATCCAGCTTGGAAGTCTTGCATAATTACTTACTTAAAAGTGCATCTTTTCTGGAATGCCTAAATGATTTCTCCCTCTCCTTCTCTTCCCTTCAAGATGTTTGAATATTTGGATGCAGTGCTGAATTCTGCCCCTAGGTGCTACTGAAGGGTCATTCATGGTATTTTCATGAGGGCTTCAGCTTCAGGTAGATGCACCTAGTGGGGGAACAGGTCATTGCAATGGATCATTCAAACAAGAGATGGGCTGGAAGTGCTTCCTTACCTCCAACAAGGCCATTTTCTCTCCTCTATGGTAGGTGAGTGCATTTTCGTTTGTAGGAATCATTCCAAGAGATGAGAGCTCAGGTTTCAAAAGGTCTGGCATAAAAGTAAGAGTAGCAAAACAGCAAAATACATTCATATCAGGAGGAATATTGCACTCAGCAACACATTTATTTCTAATTATTTATGTATATCCTCCCTTTCCAGTTACACATCCTGTCCAGACACCTTTCCGGAAACAGAGACATTAATAAAATCAGAATAAATGATATCAAAAAGGATAAGGTGAGATTGAGCGCTTCTCCATGGGACAGCTGGTGGCAGTGGTGAGCTGAGGTGGCTCAGGAGCAGGGACTTGGTGTTGTCCTTACCTGCCTCCTTCTCTGTCCTGGAATCCGATCCACATGCCAGTTGGCGCTACATGGCTCCCAAGAACAGACAAGAGCCCAGCTGCGGTAGACTCCAAGAAGGTCTTGGCCAAGGTCAAGATTAAACTCAGCAGAATCCATCTCTCTCGCACTCATGGAATCATTGACTCATCATCGATGGCCTGTTGTAGAATCTGCAAATCAGTTCTTAGAACTCCAGACCCATCTGAAACGATTGCGGATTCCTCTGACATTTGTAGATACAAAGCTAATGATCGGGTAGCTGATAATTCGCTCTTGTTTTATTTTCCATTTATTTCAGTTCAGTTCTGCCCAGACCCCTTTAGCCTTGGCCATTTCTGTCTAGTTCCGAAGCCAAGGACATAAGCAGAGGCTTTTAAATCCATTGCTTAAAAATTGGGGATTCTAGAGAGTTCAGCTTTTACTTTCTTTTAGCCATTTCCTATTTCTATGGATTTGGACATGGCTGGGGGAGAGCTTTCAGAGAACCTAAGAACAGATGTAAAGGTCTTCCAGGGACTTCCAAATGATTATTCAGGGCATCATACAGAAGATAAAGAAAGGGGAGGGAGAACAAAATGAAAAGAGGAATGAAAAGCAAGGAGCTGGTACAGTTGCAGTGAGGCGAGGGGAGATGTGCACAGAATATACGCAATTTATGCCAAATATTAATATGTGATGGTACTCTCGCCTCTCTTTTTACTCTGGAATGTTTTGTTCACCCCAATTTGTGTTTCAATTATACTATTTCTAAATGTGCTCCTGTAGCTGCAAGGTAGCACAGCCTCCCCCAGCTTGGCACCCTCCAGATCATTGGAAGTACACGTTCTGGGAGTTGAAGCCCAACACAGCCCCCCCTGTGGCTGGGGGCGGGGGGATGCGCTGTTTCTGTGCTTGGCCCCTTCCTCAGTGCTTCCCAGGATTTGGAGGAAGGGCACTTTTTCAAATTTGTGACATGGCAGACAATAATAGTCACTTTTTCAATAATGAGAGCTCATTTTAAGTGACTCAGTTGGGGTGATTATGCAACAAAAATCTCATTTAGAAGAGATCGCCAGAGACTGCTTTCTCAAGACTGTCCCTAAGTGGGAGGATTGATTTTTCATTTTTCATTTCATTTATTTATTTAGAAAATTTCTATGCCGCCCCATTCGCCGAAGCCTCGGGGCGGCTCACAAATACATGATCACAAGCACTCTATGTTTCCTTTAAAAATGATCCTTGAATATTAGACATTTGCAAGATGGCCTAGAGTTGAGAAGCCACTAAAGGGACTTTCCTTTCCGCTGTTCTTCAATGTTCTCCGCCCAGGCTGCAAAAAAAGAAGTGAGCCTGTCATAGGAAGTAAAGCTTTGTTCTGCGTTTACTGTGATGAACAGAACAGGGTTGGGTGTTTATTACTCAAGGGTCAAATAAAGAGAGCATTTAAGGCGATCTGCAAAAATACCTACCAGGTTGCCCCTTGCCCTTTGCAGGCGCTTCAGGCACCCTCTGACAGCCACTAGATGGAGTCTGGGAGGCCTTAGGAGGATTCACAGTCTCGGCTCCAACCTTGAGAATGTGCTCCAAGGTTGGAGCGAGGACCGTGTGTGCAAGAGCGTCCCCCTCTCATGCCAGCAGCACCTTCCTGGAGAAAGTCTCCACTAGCATATGCTGGCAGTGAAGTCAGCTGTCCAAGGTTTTGCATGGTGGGAGGAGCACCGACACGACCTTCACCTCCATACTCCGATTGCTCTTCTCAGGGCGGCCATCATGTGCGCGTTGGGAGGGTTGTAGGCATCCACATCACAGTGCGCTGTTCACGTCTTAGCTACAGCATCAACTTTTGCATTATGCTTTGGTTATCTACTCGCTCACTGTATATTAGCAT